CCGGTATATAATGTAAAATCAGTTTGCGTTGTTTACTATAGCTGTTTACAGTGTTCTAATCATTACGATTTACTTCTATTCTAGATAATTATGCTCAGTGATGTAAAATTGAAGCGATGACTGAATGAACGAACCTTGGCTGGCGAAGATGTATCTGGAAGTGTACACATTTGTTGGAAGGGAAAAAAATATTCAATGTAATGACAAAAATTGTAAAATGCTGTGGAATTTCTTTTGCAAATAAAAATATACTAGCAATTTTCTATTAATGGTTTATTCAAGTGGGCAAAATATAATGTACAGAAAGATTGCCCGTAGAGTATCGCTACACTGAAAAGTAAGCAACCGACAGCCTGTATAAAAAGGGGGCTGTGATTGGCTGCTACTTACGCGAGATTTGAACGGGACTTACATAGGCATCGGATCAGATGTAGGTAGGGCGGAATTAAAAAAAAGGGCATTAATAACAAAAGTAATACAAAAAAAAAAAAAAAAAAAATAAGTTTATAGCCAAAATAATTAAAGCCCGTACACTACATCAGATTTTAATCAGATTGCTTTTTCACTAGTGTACCAGCTAATATATTGCCAATGGGAGCTAAATAAGACATTTCAGACAAACACGGATGGATATAGCCATTTATAACTAGTAGCTAGATCTAACAGCAATTAGATATATTGTGATAGGTATTTCTGATGTATCGAAACCTTTCACTTAGGTAACCGGGATTCGATTGTTCTCCACGTTAGACTCACAAAAAACACACGCACAAGCTCGATTCGTGTCACATTCGATTCTATCTGTCTCTCCTTTCTACCCGAGACAGCTTCAAATCACTTTTATTACTTGTCAACCATTAGTCAATTACAATACAGTATAAGAGACTTTGAGGCGTTGCCTCCAAACAAACAGCCAATCACATGAAAGTTTTACACATCATAATACAATTGATTAATCGTCACTATATTAGGAAAACCACTATCATAGTGTCAACGTCAGTTTATATTTATGGGTACTAATAGTCTTGCAATAACATTCCACTGTTGACATCAATTACGTCATTATTTCTGGACTACGACCAAGACATCGCATAAGCTTGAAATCACAAACTCATGAGAATGTGTCGTCTGGTCTCGACCAGTTCCGTCATCTGGCCTCACCATTTGACCTTTATTAGTAGATGTCATGGCAACCACTATTAAGCCGACTGGCCTCATCATTTAACCTTTATCACTAGATTCCATGGCAACCACTATTAGGCCGAAATATAAATCATGATAATATAGCCATTTATAACTATCAGCTAGATCTAACAGCAGTTAGATATATATCCATTTATAAGTACGTCCATGGTACCAGCTAGATCCAAGTCCAGTGTATAATTAGAAAATGAGTCATCCCCGGACAGACCAAAATTATTTTTTCAAGATATATCCAGATATATAGCAATTTATAGCTATCAGTCGGATTTCATCTAAAATCAGTTAGATATATATCCATTTATAACTAGCAGCTAGATCTAAGTCCAGTGTATAGTTAGAAAACTAGTCTTCCCCGGACAGACCACTTCACAAAATGTCAATATTCGCTAAACACAGTTTACAGAGGGCGCACATTCAATCGTGTAAACCATGATATAGAGCTATTTCAGCTTTGCATGAATTGTAAAGTTTAACTGGATATGACATCGGCGAGGGCGCAATAACAGAAGTAATGTCATTTTTTGTCACTACGAATGCGTATGTAATACATTATTATACGTCGCTATAAAGGAATATTTATGTAATGTCTACTTACAGTCGCTAGACAAGCACTCCGCCACAATCGTATTAGTTCAAACGACACCATTATAAATACACGCACACAACAAAAAATATATAGTTGACGATAAATTAGTAAATTATAAACGGATTAGTTAGAAATATATTTCTATAGTCTTTAGACCTGGCCACCTAAGCAGGTTTATATGAAAAGTGAATGATTTCTATCATGTCAAACCAGCAGTGCAGCAGTTCAAGGTGCGTGATTTCCGCTTAATAAGTTGAACGTAAACCAACGACAAACTCAGAGTTGCCCGTCAATTTACGCTGAAAATTGAAAATATACAACGGGCAACGTAGTATATCAGTTCTTTAAGTTCAGCGTAAAACGACAGCAAATTTGGTAATTTTCGCTGTTTACAATGGACGTATCAAACGCACAACTTCTAAATTTACGTCGTTCCAGTTTCGACGGTTACGCGAGGGAAATTCGAACGTTTATTTACCGAAATGTAAGCAACTGTGTTACTGGAAAACACGTTGCTAGTTCGGCAAGCGGTTACGACCGTGACGGAAATTCGAATTTACATGTAGTACACGTGACTGATTTAAATTAATTTTTCTACTTTCTGAAAGAGTTCAACATAAATATACAATTTAGCAATTCAGAAGATAATCACGTAATTGTAGAATAAAACTACTTCCTGTTTAGAAAAAAACCAAAATGGCGGCCTAACCATGTAACCAATCATGACCAATTTCTCAAACTTGAATTTGCATCATATATAGAGGATAAAATACCCTATGTGAGAGTATTTTGTTTAGCAGTTCTGAAGAAGAAGATTTAAAAGTTTTTTTACCGTTTTTAGGAGAAAAAAAAACATCGCGGGAAAAGTCACGTGACCGCTAAAGTTTTCATTGCTTGCATTTATTACACATAAGTTGTGCTATATATCATAAAAGATCTAGACGCCTAGACCCCCATAAAGTGGCCAAATAGCCACTTCGGTTTTATTTCAACCCAATATGGCTGCCGAACCAATTGACCAATCAAATTTCTGAAAGTCTTATGCACCAGTTCACAATACAGACTATAAGTTTGAAGAATATCACACTATTCTGTTCAGCTATTTTCTCAATGAACTTGACGAAAAAAGTTGACGAACAAAGCGGAAGATAACAATAGGAGCTGGCCCCCTAAAAAAAAGGAGAAAGAACTAATCAGACTATTTAGTTCAGCGGTTTTCTGAATAAACTTGACGAAAGAAAAAAAGATGTAGAAGAAAAAAAACAGACAATAAGAATAGAGACCTCAGTGCGGCGGAGCGGAGTAGTAGTAGTAGTGACGACGACAATGAAGAGCCATTTTTTACTCGGTGGCGTGTACAAATTACAATCATTTTAAGGTGTGGTGACAAGCTGGTACAGTCAAGCCTCTCATTCATATTTAAATTATTATTGGTTTGGCCACAAAAGAAAAATGCACTTTGAGGTATTCATTTACTGACCAAAACTGAACGAAGTGTGCAATCAAAGTGACATCGAAATCGCAGTGAAGCAGGACTAAAAGTACACCGAGAGTAAATCAGCTGTTTTTTCTTATTTCTATGACAATGAAACCACGTGCCATACCAAAGGTAAGTTCACAAACACTTTAATTATATGATGACGTAACGGTTGTTTCTGTTTCTAAGCATAGATGTTGTCACCTATTCGGCACAATATGAATGTATTCAAATAATTTTATGTTTATAAATCATGTTTCTTTTCAAAGTGCATTTTTATAATAAAAAGTGTTTATGAAATTGTTTTTTTTATACTTTTTCGATGGATTGAATTTACAAATGATTAGTTATTTTGTTATACCATCACTCGAATTATGCCACGCTGGCATCCAAGATGGCGACCCTTTGCCGGGTTAGCCTGGAAACTTAAATGCGAGTCTGTGGATGGTGTAAGCATTGAGGCTTACGTTCAAGCAATCGCTGAGATTATTGGTGGGCAGAACGTTGTTGCAGCGTTACGATCTAATGAACAGGTCATTGTTTTTGTTGAATTTGTTGACTCGCCGGTTGAGCTTGTTTGTGAGTCGGGTATTGGCTCCAGTTTTTATTTTATTTTATTTTATTTGTGTTTTATTTATGTTATATTCATGTTGAGCCTCTGGTTAAGCCGTCAACTAAAGTTGTTTTGTCGGGAGTTCCTCCCTTTATTTCAAATAGTGTACTAGAAAAAGAATTGGCTCGTTATGGGCGTATTGTAAGCACTATTCACATCATACCACTCGATTGTAAGAAACCCGAACTACGACACGTGAAGTCTTTTAGAAGACAAGTTTAAATGTTGTGTGGACAAGACAGACTTGATGGCGTGTTTATTACTCACGGGGAGCGTTAATACAGAATTTATTTGTCAACTGAGAACGTTACAGGTGCCACAAAAAAGGGCACATTCAACGGAATTGCAAAGACGTTCTTCCTGGCATCGCCACTTTGAAAAATACAACACAACTTATAATAAATGATATATCTTCCAACGCCACTGGGGGAACTCGCAGGAACAAATAATAATAAACCGATTAAATCTAAAAACGCTGACGAAAATATAAACGAAATTATAAACACGAACAAAAACGATGTCAGGCCAGCGACACAATAGGCTATTTTCCGCTTTGGTCGAGATCTCGCGAGATGGCTAAATTTGCCTGGCAACCGGTTGCTAGTCATGTGATAGAGGTCAAGCTTTGAATCAAAATAGCGCTAAATCGTGCGTGTGTCTAGTGTCGTGCGTTAAATTTCCGAGTGATTTATTGCATCTGATTCAGGTTTTCGACCATAGCTGACTTCGACAGAATGACCGTGCTCAAAGACTTCCTGCGTAAATTCGGCGTGTCATCGTCCAACTATAAAAAGTATATTTTTCTTGCAATCGCTAAAGTCGTGCACGATTTTAGCTGGAGCTCGAGGAAGACCTTGATTTGTTTACGCCGTGATCCCAAAAAATGACGTCGCTTCAAGACTGCAATTTCATCGATCTTTTGAAATTACTGGGCTACTCTATATTGATTTCAGGAATGTCCCAGAATTCGGTTTGTCCGATATTTTAATGTGCTATCACTGCGACTATGACCGGAAAAAGCTCAGGGCCTACATACCGTGCGACGGGCATGTTCGAATGCAGCCTCACTGATAAACCACTCAGTCTCAAAATACTAGGCACTTACATTGGAAATAGCTTTGACAGAAATGCACACTGGATAAAGTTGAAACAAAACATGAATGGTGGGAAAATATGCACCAAACATGTCACATAGAGCGCGCCCAATGATCTTATTACTCGCCCACAGAAGCTATTTTAAAGTTATTTTGGCGTGCACGTCATTGGGTCCGAAAACATATTGTCTACTTACCAGTAACCGAAGGTAGTCATGGTCTTGCAGACTCACCCACGCGTATTTCAGTTTTCAGGCTGCAGTACAAAGATACCTGTATTCAAATATCAGACATCCTTGCTTTACATTCATCGAATACTTTCTACAACAAATACAGAACCTGTAATATCATTTTTTTTATGACTATCCCTCCTAAAAATAACCTTGAAATTCCAATGTTCTACCGTGACCTACTAAAAGTTTGGTGTTCATTGCTAACTTTTAGAAAAGACAGACCCACCACTTATTAAAGCGTGTGCCGTGAACCACTTTTTGAAATCCATCTGCTTATCGGAAATTGTTAAGGCAAAATGTAATATCACACATAAAAAAATCATATCATATGTTCATTCGTAAATATATATAATATAATTAAATCATACAAAAATTGGAAACATAAATTAAATGGTTCTTTTTCAGTATTGATTTAGCGGGTTTGCTCTAGCATAGCTAATGTGAACGCTAATTTAACTTCTTTGTAATATACCGCTCTTATTTTGTCAGCTATTGTTCCGCACCCCTAAAGCTTTCATATGATAGGTGCTCTACTGGAATATCGCGACGCATACATACCCACATATATATTGTTTATATGATGGATTCTCAACGTCTGTAGAATTTTGAGTTATTCAGCGGACGACACACTCACTTGTAGAAGAATCTATTTTGTTCATTTGCATATTTTAGCAGTCAAAATAGTATTATTCAGTATGTTTATTACTTTACTATGAATAATTAAGGAAGTAATGTAGTTTGAGTGACTATATCTCCAATTATGTTTGCAGATGTTACAAACCTGTTTTATAGTAACAGATTTAAACTATGCACTAACACAAAATCAACCTTGAATTAATTGATATAGCAAACTGGTTATCTGCAAATAAACTATCTATCAATGTTAAAAAGACAAACTTTATATTGTTTTCAAATAAAAATAAAAAAAAACACAGGTCAGTGGATTTACCTATTTATATAAATGGAGCTAAAATAAAGCAAGTGAAAGACGCCAAATTTCTAGGGACAATAATTGATGAAAACATTAATTTGACTCATCATATTAAAAAAGTTACTATCTCTGTTGCCAAAGGTGTTGGTATAATGAATTTATGTTAACAATATTTTGCCACAATCTTGTCTTCAAAAAAATTACAATCCTGTCATTTTGCCCAATTTATATTATTGTAACATTGTCTGGGGGAAAACACATGTGTCAAAATTACAATAATTGTATCTTTTACAAAAAAAAAGCATTACGCATGATTACACAATCACACCATAAATAAAGTAGTCTACCCCTATTTTAGGTGATTAAATACTCTGACTATCTTTGACATAAATAAAATACAAACAGCACAGTTTATGTACCAGTACTGCAAAAATCTTCTCCCAGCTTCTTTCACAAATTTCTTTCATACTAATCAAACAATTCACAATCACAACACTCGCCAAAAAAATCAAATTCATTCCTTCTATCATAAATCTCAAAAATGTGACTTTAATATCAAAAGACATGGTATGAAACTTTGGAATAAAATGCCTACTGTGTTAAGAAACTTAAACAAATTACAACTGTTTAAATATAAATATAAGAAATCCCTCACTGCTAGGAATTGATATAAAATATAATGTTTAAAATAATTAATATTCACTTATTTCATATTGTTAATTTTACTTGTATGTTTTTTTGTGTATTTGCTCTCTTTATTTGTATTTTTAAGTGCTATATTTTGTATATGGAACAAAACATATGTTACTATTGTTTAATTTGTTTCAGTATACTTTTATTATTATATTATTGCCATAAATTGAGGTGTTAACGATACAAGCTTTTAGCTTCTAGTTAATTTCGTTCACATGCCACAACATTTTTCTGTAGTATTGTATTTTTTTCTATTTTATTGTGAGAAATAAATGATTGATTGATTTGGTATACTCATGACCCTCAATTATATTTCAACTGCTGGATTGGGAACAATTGAAAAATACATTTTTTTCGCATGTGTTTGGTGTTGGGACTCGGCATTCGCAGATTAGTTTCATAAGTACGTACGTGAATCGTTACCAGGCGGTAAATATATATGCTGGCGTTATTTCTTTGTTGTCAAAATTTCGGCGAAATATGTGTTACGTGGGCAGAATACACTGTGTGGCATTTTACAATTCCAATTAGCCAATGCAGTCACGGAACAATGGCGAAAGAAAAATAGGTATTGTTGAAAGGGATGTCATGCTAGTATTTGAATAGCAGACTAAAATATTCATTACAAATGTGGCTAGTACCAATGTGATTAAATTGGCTTTAGTTGAGCCACTGTTGTCTGTTGTCACATTGCATGCAACATTGCAGAAATCAACACATGAGTGAGGGGGTGTTTTCAGTAACAAACTTGACATCATAGAAACAAATCATTATTTTTTGTAATTTGTTTCAATGCCAAAAAAAACTCTAGCATATGTAATAGGTAAATAATTTCGAACTTTGGAAATCAACGACAAGCGTAAGCAACCTCATCCTTCTTGGACCATTCACGCTGACAGAGGACCTCTCGCGGATCGATCGTACTGGAATCAGTGTGAACCAAAACTGAAACTTTTGTCAATCATTAAATTATGGTGTCAATCAGATGTCCACTCAAACTCACACGTCGAGCTCTCTGATGAATGATGTTTGCAGTCAGGTTGTCATGGTGATCAAGACAATAAAACTGCGTCATGCGTTGTGAGATCATCCAACTACCATGCGATTCTGCGTGATCTCTTCATATCTCACAGGAGGGCCCATCTGAATTGACACTATGTTTTTTTTTGCTTCACTATCCCGTTCAATCCCAAACACACCACTGGCTGCTTGGATACATAGCTGAACTTACGCGATACTAGTAAATATTATTTATTCAAGAGTTTACATTGCGTCAGTGTACTATCTACACGGTAAAATGCTCGTCACAAGATAGCGGATTCTCGTAATATGATTGGCTCGTTTCCATTGTATCAGACCCCGGAGAGAGATGTTGCATCCGAATCATTGTTTATTCGGCTATTGATTTGCAAACCTAACAATTTATGCATGAGAGACGTTAGTTAGATCAATAACTGTCGGTTGAAACAAGGCGTAAGTACACAGGTTGTTACGTCTTGTCAACATTGCATGTACACAAACACTAATATTCGGTGTTAAATCACCTGTTATTTCATATCATTATTTTTCTTTTTTTTAGATGATGGTGCTTTTCATGACCATTATTGAATTTGTTGGGATAGTTACGTTGGTAATAATACATGTAAGTCCATTTTATTTATTAATATTTGTCACTCATACAACTACTATTAGGTCAAAGTTCACACAGCTAAGTGTACGTCATTATTCCCTACAATCAACCATATGCATGATCTCATCGACACTGCCCGGTATTGTAGCGCCGCGTTCTTATTGGTCGATCAGTTTTGCGTGCAGCTCTGTTATAAGATAATAACTGGTCAGCTCATGTGTTCAAAGCACGAACGCGTTCTTCCACGTTAATAAATCCTTGTTATTTCCATCGAAAAACACCTATCAGCGTGTTTTTGCATGTCGTTTACTTGTGAAATAGAAAACAGAAAATACAAGTGCCCATAACGTATTTACCAAATTGTCGATTTTCAACGCTGTTGTTGTCGCCTTAGACGAAGCGGAGCTATTCATATATGCGATTGCCCGTCGCCATCAAAACAAAGTTTTGGCCTCTTCTCGAAAACCAACAGCCGAAATGCTGTGATATGCTATATTTGGGTAACTTTGATAAACGTCTAGCAGATTTTTCTTTTTGCTACAATATTCTTAATTCTTTATTTTTAGAGCATATTGTTGGAACAATTTTAGTTTAGTTGCTATTTGATTATCAGCCAGAACAGACTACTTTTTTGTGACTTACTTAACTTGGTTAACACAATGTCATTGTATTACAGCGCGGCTATTTCGACCGTCAGGTCGGTTGTTTCTATTTCTCTGGGTAGAATAATCATTTCGGCGTAATATACAAGAAATACACGACCCGACACTGCTGATTATCGCATCCCAATAAAATAAATTCGCTCGACAGCGTTTGGCTTGATATTGCGAGTGATAACGTCAGCTTTAGAAGATGTGCAATTTTTAAATGGATATCAGGACTATATCATGCGTTGTACTGGAATATACGACTACGGCGTAGGTAAAGATCAGAATTAACAGAATGAAAGTATTGAACACTAAAAACCACGTATGCTATTTATAATTCTGTTCAAATTACTTTAAACAAAAATATGTTGGAGAGGCGATTTTAAATATTTGTTTGGTTAAAATATGTTACGACGCACTAATGTTGAAGATTAAATCACTTCGTCAACAGTCGGAGCATTGTACTCGCTCTGTACTTGGCAGGTGTAATACTTTTTGGTGACGCTGAAATATTATTTTGGTACTAAATATCACGTTATAAAATAGACAAGTAGGATTTATATATCGTTACATCCAATTCACAGAAGATTTGATAAGGCACGTTTGCTGGAGTCGCGTTTTAAGCCCGCCATATTTTGCCCGGACTGAGCATGCTCCTCAGACCCATCTCAAAAAAATATCTCTGACGCTAACGCTGTAATATTCAATAAGAAGTGTACAGCTTCGCATAGTTTGCAAGCGCCATTCAATCGTCGGTCATTTGTCTTCAATAGTATTATGGTAGTATAAAATATAAGAATGAATAATACGATTAATAAAATAATTACAATTTTTGAAGTAGTTTCAGATCAGTACATCTCAAATATTGTAAAAATATTATTACTATCGATAATGCTGATAAACATATATTTTTGTCTCGTGCATTAATGTATAATGTTTTATTAGGGGTTATACCTCATTACGAGGTATCTGCAAATTGCGTGACAAAAAATTCCGCATGTCGCAAAATTACCGAAACTTCAGGATTTTGATAAACTAGACACAAATGCTCTCCGTAGCGCCATTAGTTACAGCGTGCCGATATTTTGCGGTATTTTACGGGATTTTTTCATCCTACTAAATAGGGAAATGCGAATACCAAATATGAAATTATTACGCGTGTAAGCGTCCTCTAATAATAAAAACAAACATGGCTGCCACCAGAATTTAACCGGACTCCACACAAAGAAGTTCGCTGATTCTGTTCTAAACTTTTTGGATTTCGGCATTCTCGTAATGTATCCTTGGAAGACAAAATGTATAATAATAAGGTTATTACGAGGATACCTGTACGTCGGTCGATACTTCCGCTGCACTGTCTTCGTCTAACATTGAGATATTCTCGTAATAACCACATAATATACAATTTAACATAAATGTATTTTTGTCTGTAATTCCCATTTGCAGCATTTTTCTGGATTTAACGTGTCACCCATGGCACTGAAAGCACTTTCAGCAAACACAAATTTCCCACTATGGCGTTTCCCAGTAAACAATGTGAGCAACAGAATGGCTTTAAAACGTCCTTCATGGAATATTACCTTGGGTGAGCTAGGAAGTATGGGAATGACCAGCGCTAAAAACTCTTTATTTCGCATCAGAGGAAATATCTCAAATTTTCACTTTGCTGATCATATACACATCATGATAGATGCCAAAGATGATAACGGAAGGCAACGCGTTCTTGGTGGTGATATATGGAAACCAAAGATGTTCAATCCAAATCTCAAATCTAGTATAATTGGCAAGGTAGTTGATTATGACAACGGTACATACAGTATATACTTCTTCGCTGCATGGAGTGGGGAAGCGTTCATTGATATTCAGCTTGTTCATACTCGCGATGCTGCACTGTACATTGAGGACGTTTTCAGAAAAAAGGAAAAAATGACGTGGCAAGCTGTCTACAGCAGAGGTGGCTTAGAAGAGACGAGTATGTGTCACCTGCGTCGTGAGGGGACGTGGACCAACCAGTGTGAACACATGAGAAATCCACTTTTTGGTAGAACGCTTGTTTTGTGTGAGAAACCAGCGAGTCTGGCATGTGGGGACTTAAACTATTTTCATACATCAAAGGTATCATTGGACAATAGGCAGCACCTTGAAGACATGTTTCACAGGTATTTACATATGCCAGCAATATAATATACCGTCTAATGAGATAAAATTAATTGTGTACCCAAAGTGCAGTCGATAATTCATATTTAGATGACTTGTATTCCATGCTGTGCGTCTGTATCTAGTTTTCCAGTCCTAAAATATGTTTTTGTCTCGGTGTAAACTGGAAACAACCATAATTTTCACATTATGGCGTTTCAGAGGGTCTATTGTTCAAAATTTTTAAGGGGAGCATGCCCGAGTAGGGTCGCGGCTTTGGCGCAAGGTTGGTGAGCACATCTCGCCCCATGAAAAAAATCATGCGCGCCTCTGTGGATGCACACACATATTAGCCATATTAGTGGTGTGTTTGACAAAATAATATTCTAATTGTGGCATAAGTTCATACTTGGAAGTTGTAATAAACTAAACTATGATTAATTTCAGATACTTGCCCATTGACTTGTGTAGAGCTCAGGCTCTAACAGACAAACACTATTTGATTAGGATGTTCAAGATAAAATATTTTACGTTACACGTGTGAAACAGTATGTGCTCACCCATCTATACTTGTCAGGTGTTTTGTTTTTGTCAGGCATTTTTTTTACTGTTGTTGTTGTTTTATAATTATGATCAAATTAACCATCCAGGTATTTACTTTAAAAGCCGAAGCAAACGATTTAAGAAGTATTTATAGCAGTTCCACATTCAAGAATATTGACCACCTTCACTTATATTCCATTATAAGCCGCATGCGAAAATTTAAGTGCGAGACAAAAGGGACATTTGGCTTCACGTTTATCCTTTTTAACCTATATGTTACTTTGTAAGCTGATTTCTAATTTCAACTATTAATCAACAGGTCCTATCAGAAGATTAACGGCAACCCAAGTAAATTGATCATACATAGTGAGTAGATTATAATACTGTACATGTCTTTATCGCTTTAATCACGTAAACAAGTGTGGTAAATTATTCTATAAAACATGGTGAACTGAGCCAACTGTGAAATACATATACAGTGAAAGCATTCTTCTACTTTTATCAAGTGGTGGTTTTATATAAGTATTGAATTGTACTCATCCAAGGTTTAAATCTTTTGCACACACAACTTAATTAATTAATCGCTAATCTGCGTGGTAATTTTGTAGTTTACTAATTGTATTGTTCAGAAACCGTGAGGGTTTAACGATATACATGTAAACAAAAACTGTAGTGCTACTTGTACGCTATCATTTATATGTAATGTCGAGGGAAGTAACACAATCATAACTGGTATCGTGTTTTTTTTTCGTGTATGTGAGTTTTTCTTTTGTTTTTTAATCATGCACATGCTAACAATGGTGTGCTCTTTATCAACAGACTCATCGTTCGGACTACAATCTTTATTTAGTGAAATTCCAATATGCAGTGACGGACTATATATAGATGAATTCAAGCCTACTGGTTTCTGGAACAACAACACCTGGCATTCGTTGGTTTGTCAAACTACTCGTTTTGACAGACAGTCTAGTAGAGTGTGTTTGAATGAATATAGTGAGTTATATTTTCTTGGTGACTCAACATCAAGGCAGTGGTTTATAGAGTTATATCAATTACTTGGTATTCCAAGCGATAATGTCACGTGGGATGAACATTATAAAAATACTCCGAAAAAAATCCGAAAATTCCTTTACAAGAAAACGCGCGGAAAAGCTGTCATCGACGGTATGACTCTATTCTTTTTATTCCACCCGTTGGCCTCAACTAAACAAAAACTATTACTGGACCGCTTTCCATTAGAATACGAGATTTTGGAAAATATTAAAACGTGTGACACTGTAATAGTACTTGGCACATGGGCTCATTACACACGTTGGACTGTGACATCATTTGATGAAAGACTGCGATATATTAAACAACACTTGTATGAATATAAAAAGAGATGTCCAAATTCAAAGATTATTATTCGTGGTTCGCATGCGCGGGAACATGATGGCTGGGAAAAGAACCTTGGCAATAGCGATTTGTTGTTGAGAGGCGTCAATGATATATTGAAGAATGTCTTTAAATCTGAGTTGTGGTTGACATTTATTGATGTTTGGGAACTTAACTATTCCTCCTTTGCGAAGCAGACTGTGCATATGTCCGAACACGTGGTAAAAGAAGAGATAAATCTTCTACTCTCAAATGTATGCCCCGAGAAGTATTATTAACATTGATTGAGTGTAATATTTTTTTTATGTCAATCGCTTTGAGATTGACAACAATGAAATTATAGTACAGCGAATCAGACTGTGCATATGCCTGAACACGTTGTGAGAGAAGAAATACGTCTTCTACTTTCAAATATATGTCCCCAAAAGTATCATTAACATCAATTTCATGTAATTCTGTACTATGTATGCACTCACGTAATATAACAACATATGTGTTTTTTTTGTATGGCATATTGTGTCTCGCCAAATTTAAATAGATTGTCAATGACTTGAACTTGGTAATTGAGTCAACAATCGTGGATACATTCAGGTTAGAGTAAGCAGTGGACGGACATGTATTATATGGAAATAAGAAAAACACAGGGATTGTGTCACTATGGGGTTGTCTCTGAAACTGGCGATAAATTCATCCACTACGTTGTCAATTATGATGACAAATTAACATCGTAGTTTCTACGTCATGTGTAAGATTGAAATACACCTTGATTCATTTCACTTGAAAACGAGAGAAAATTTCGGATTACATTTTGCCTATCAGGACTTTGTGAAAGCGCCAGAAAAAAAAAATAGTGTATTTGTAGAGCGTTTCTATACTAAATACACCTTAAAACGGAAGTTTTACACCGTAGTAGATACAGCCCGAAATTATTTTAGCCTGAATTTAATGTATTTTATTGTAATATAAATGAAAAAAAATAATGAAAAGTATATACTATAAATAACATTTTGCAAAACAGTAACCGGTCTGTTAAAGTGACAGTTATAACCACTTTAATGTAAGTGTCTGTGACTCTGGAATCTATTTAAGTTTGTAACTTGTATATCTACTCAAGACTAAGACAATGCCCGTCTTAAAACATAACACGTGTATTGTAAATCTTTTTTTTAATATTTTACCAGAATGAATTAACTGCTATGTATTAAAAAGTGAAAGTATAATTTTAAAGCTACAAGCTCCCACGAACCTGTATCTATATCTGTATAATCTACATATAAAGGGGTGTAGGTTTGAGTTTTAGTTGTTTCAGAAGAGATAAGGCTCTGAAAGCTTTGGCGACACACCTTTAATGTTCCAATGTTTCCCCTGGATAAATACACTTTTCTTATAGAATTCTTATAATTAGGTTCAACAAATCTTCAATAAATATAACTGATAAAATTGTGTTCAGTTATTAAAAACAGTAAACAGACAGAATACAATTGTTTTCCTTCTGTTTCTACAATCATTGTCTAATGTTGAAATTGTGTTAGATGATTATATTCAATATATCACACCAATAAGAAAAAGTTTTCAACACATTAGTTTCTAAAGTACTTATTTGCATTACGCAAATTGTAACGCCATTATAATGCATTCCCAGCACATGAATACGCAAAATAATGGTTTTGTTCAATTAAATCTTTTTCGTTGCATGAAATGTTTGTGGATGTAATGTAAGTTACGCTATATATTCAATACTTGGTTTGGAATTAAAATATGTTTCCATGTCGTTAAGGAAAAGTATCAATATCATTGGTAGTATTCCCGGGGGGGGGGGAACTTGCAAAAAATACTGACAGGGGTGTGTAGCTGGTTGTTTTACCCCTACCTCTTATCAGACAGAAATAAACTCAAAGTGCCTACGTTATACCCTTTTCAGACAAACTGTGGATATTTGACACCCCTTTCCAGACAGTAAGCATAAATGGTACCAAGGGAAAAGCAGGTGGGCTTGAAAGAAAACATGCAAAATGCAGTCATCAAGTTTCACACACATGTTTATTATCACAAACCGGGTTGCAAACAGAAAGGAAGTCCAGGGCAAGTGTATCAAAAAGTGACAGACCATATCCTGGTTTGATATACTCTGGGGATTGGGCCCATTGCATTGGTTTACTGTGTGCTATACTATGTGTTATCACTGTCATCACAGTACGTGTCATGTGAGTATTTGTTAACAGACAGAGTTATATTGCAGGCCCGTTTATCGGGAAATGAAACAGGCTTTCTAAATTCTTGACTACATGTTGATGTTGTGTACCATTTGGTCTTCGGTATTCAGAAAGGCGTATTCTTCAAATAAGCATACTTCAGTACTTGGTGAGCCAGTATATTGAGCTTTTCCTTTATAATCTTGTTTCTGTCTTACGCTGTTCAGCCTGTAAGAAATAAACATGATACACTGGTTACTCTGTTTAGTTGTGTCAATGTATTTCAGATAAGCCCCAGCCTCAATGTGCGTTACAAACAACCCATTGCTCTTGGAAATTGTGTAAGATTGTTCCCTGGGGATTATACATATTTCACTTAATTGTTCATGATCCCCTTATACAGGGACTGTATTTAGTTTTAAACTTTAATGGATTATAGCCTGTCTTACATCAAAGGATACACCACAACAAGTCTCAAGGTGAATAACAGCATAGAAACAAAAATATGGAAATTCAGGGGTTGTTTACCTTTTATGTGACAAGTTTGGATTCTCGTTGCACAGCTCAACTAGTGTAGTTTTGTATATGAACTCCTTTGCCATGGGCACTAGAACAGCTGGGTTAAACTGCTTACGTTTCTAAGCTTACTACACAAAAAACAATCTATGGTAAATGACGGTGTCGACCAATGGAATAAAAATACACATATTACATCTACTGAATATGATGTGAACACTATATTATTGAAGTAATACACAAGTTGCACACTAAAAATGAGTATCTGTCATTGGGTTTCCTACAAGTAAGTGTTGTTATTGGATCTACATGTACATCATCTAAGCATGCTATATCATCAAATACTGATCTCATATCCAGGCTACCATGAAGTATGAAATCTCTATCTACACCATCACATTCTAAATTGTCATTGCAGATTACACCTAGAAACATAAAGATAAAACTCCAAGATAACACTATGACCAAAATGCTGTTTGATTAAACTTGCCCTGGAAAATATGGCTATATTAATACAGTATGTTGAACAATACATCCCTAACATCGGGGTAAATGCATTACAGTTGAAAAAACCAACATATCCAACTGATAATCAAAAAAATCACAAGTTATATTTTTGAACACAATATTTCAGTACTAAGTAGAAAGGATTTGGTAATCAGTCCTGATAAATTGAGACATTTTGGCAACACCTATTTACGAGCCATGTATTACAATTGAAACCTTCCATATGCTACATCTATCAGTACTCGCAACTACTACTTGCACATTATATATAGACATTTTTCAGAAAGTTTGTGAAAACAAAATGAAATTCATGAAATAATTACTCACCAAAATCACCCGTCTTAAGTCGTTTATTAGATTCATGCTTGACAGGAGCACAATAACAATATGCGTATTTATACGAACCAGCTTCCAGCTGGAACTGATCGCAGTCACAATTGTTACACTTGCCACGCAAAATACCTCTGCCCTCAACCGCCATTGTTATTTTAATTGAGCTTCGAGAAATGGGGGAAATGGGGGAAGGGGGGGGGGTCAGCTAATTGTATTTACCTAGATGGACTTTGACGATCGAAATGAAGTTACAGTAAGAAAATATCAGCTTCATTCTCTTCAAGCTTAAGATCTAGAGACAGTCTTTAAAAAATATGAACTCCTTTTCAGACAGAATTAATGAAAAAAGGATACTCCTTTTCAGATAGGCAGGTTAAAATAACATCCCCTATTCAGATAGAAATGGTGAATTTGGGACCATCTTTGACGGCATATATAGCACATCAATGTGATTACCCCCCGGGGGGGGGGGTAGTATGACACTGAAGATTCATACTGCTAATTAATAGACTTGCTAATGGGTTAAATGCTGCATGTTTTAGTACAAATTTCGTACTTGGCACATATTGTCGCATACGACTTGTTTACCACTTCCGTGTCACTGAGAATGTTCTAGAACCGTACTGTATCTGGATGGAATATTCTAGATTTTTTTTTGAAACTGGTTGAATAGGTAATAGAACACTGTAGGAGGCAATAGAAGGTAATGGAACATTCTAGAAATTTGTAGTAAGTTCCAGACTCATTATGTATGCTGATGTAATGGTCTATTTATAGACTGTGGGGGTATATATAAGGGAGTTGTTCAGCACTGAGATCAGATCGGAGATCTCGTTGAATTGTGTTGGAGTTTAAGTATCTAGTTATTCGAGGTTTGGAGTTTTACCGCGTTATTGTACTTGATGATTGCAGAGTATAATGATACCAGTACCAGTTGAAACCTCATCTTTTGGCTCCATGTTCGTATGTTATTATCGCCGCCAGGGAAGTCTTTCTGTTACTGTTGCCATTTTGGTATTTGAACCATCACACCTGTACTATACCAATTACGGTAATATTACGTTGCGTGTGAACATATGTTCTTTGGGGCAATTGGAAAATTTTCATCCAAAGAGACACTCTGTTTCTATGCAAATAACGCCTAATTTGCATAGATACAGAGTGTCTCTTTGGATAAAAAGTTGTCAATTGCCCCAAGGAACATCTGCATACTAAATACAAAAATATAGCTTCAATCAGCATTAATTTGTAACAAAAAACACATGGTGATTACATACAATAATGTCCAAACAATCGATTTGTTTTCTATGTAATATTATTATACCTCATGACCATGACAACCAATCAGATTCGCGCATTACAGGTAGACCTGTTCCTGTGTCGCCCTGCTGACATATTCGTAGGTCTGGGTAGCTTCTTCCTGAACTTACCTGATTTACGCCAATAACTAACCAGGGAAACACGATACGCGGCAATATTCATGAGCTGATTAGTTTGCCAGGTTTGCGTTCACTTTTGGGAAAGAAAACTGGTATTTTGTAGCGTGATTTTTAGTCGCGCCTTCCGTGTGTTTCGCCAGCGCGCTCAGCTACGCGCTTTGAGACATTCGATCTGCAATTGCGCAGTTCGTCTGCCTAAAAAAAATTGGGAGTCGTGGACTTTGCCTTGTGACGGTACCGTTTTGTTTGACCTGGAAGATTGTCATGATTTAGTGCCAACAGCAGTGGAAATACAGTTTTAGAGACCGTCAGAACCCATTGTCGCTAAAACTGTATGTCCACCTCTTTTGGAGTGAACATTTGTATACTGTCACATTCGGTCTGCGATTGCGCAGTTTGTCTACCTGAAAAATCTAAGGAGTCGGAGATTTTGCCGTGTGACGGCACCGCTTTGTTTCATTTTGTGTGTTGTGACAATATATCGACATATTATGTACATTGTATTTGTTGAAAGAGAATGATGTTGACATAAACCTATACCCAAGCAGTGTGAAGCTCGTTTTAGTTTTATAATGAGAACTGGAACGCAGTTTCTGCGTACAGGGTGGCGCCGGCTGTGTTTATAACAAATAATCCTTCGTCAGGCTGAAGCTGCTGAAATTGGGTTTATCAAAATAACCATGAATATAAAAAGGCATCTATATTAAAACTCAATAGAATTCAATCACTGCTCTTTCACACTTTCAACTTATATAATGGTGTTCATATTTGCATTCAGCTCTACTAGTATGACCTAAAAGATTGTCATGATTCAAGTTGAGTGGCACGATTTCTGTTTTAAGATTTATTCGGTATAATAATAAATGTTCACCCCAACAGCGATAAACATGCAGTTTTAGAGACAATCAGTGCCAAACTGTATGTCACCTCTGATGGAGTGAACATTTATATAATATCAACACAGTCAAATAAATTCAGTGGTAAATGGCGTATGTATTTCCAAATGTACAACGTTTGATTATGTATGTAATTTAATTGTAATGTAATTAGCGAACAGCGAACACCTATATAATAAAATGCATTCACATTGTTACAAATCAATTGTTTGTTTCATTGACTAATGAGGATTTATTTGAGTTGTGAGTCTCTTTGACATATTCGTGTCATCCGTCTACACCGCCCCCTCTAATATTGTAGACAATAGTACCAACTGTTCTCAATCTATATTTCTCCAAAAAAGATTAATGCTTATTGTAGATTGTGATGAAAATTGTAAACGGTTCATAAATAAACTGAGAATTATTAATGCCCCACTATCAGTTGCCAAATGCAGACGTAATATATCATTTAATAACATATATCAATATTGACATAGCATGTGTTATTACAATATGAATGTTTCGCTGAAAACTGAGATTTTTGGTCTCAATTTAGGAGTTCATGTTATACTTGGAATCCTAGTTTAAATTTTGAAATATTATGATAATTTGTTACTTCACCACTATCCATTAGACAGTGACGTCATGTGTTTATATGCATAGTAGACTTTGAATTTTCTACTGAATTACTATAGCACTATTTTGCAGCTATATTGTTTGTATTGTTTTATCGTGAAGACTATACAGGTAGTACAATATCAATAAACATACTCTCTACCTAGAACCGCATAACTTAAAAATAAAGAACGCCCTATGCGATGGCGTGTAGACTCTTTCCGTGTGTACGTTGTGTGTCTGTGTACAATTTCGTTCTAAACCACCCGTGGTGGTGGTTTATTGTCTTTGAGCGCAAACTGTGCATACTATTGATTGTTCTGACGTGGTTTCACTGCTTGTATTTGTCCTTTCTCGAACACCATGGGCCACAGTAGAATGTGGCCGATTTGGGAAATAGATTCATATGTCGTATGAAAGTTTTGAGATTTAGCCAAAATGATAATGTGAAATGTTTGCAAATATTCTAAATCACCCATACAAGTGATGTATTCTTATAAGGGTACATATCAGGTCACAGTAAACATATCCACATGTCACTGAGGTTGCTAGTTATGTAATTGACATTTCCAACTCTCATTTCGAAAACGCCACGTTTACTGGAGAGAATATCGTCACGTTGAATAGAATAAAAATAAATCAAAAAATACTGCTTCACTTTATCATTTCATTCTTATTACGCTTAAGAGAATGAAACCGGTTACTCCAATACTCAAAAAACGTCGATTATTCAGCCTTGATTACGATCGGAATTTTTTGGAGCTGTTTCACATCAGCAATCATAATCGCCGTGAAATCCGACAACACAACAATGCCAGTTGCTATAGTCGATTAGCAGAGACGATATCGAAAAGGAAAGCAATGAAAAACTAAGGTGAAGAAAACTACACCAATATTACGCACTTATCGCGGTCACTAAAATGTACACGTTAGTAACAATACAGTAATGTTGAACCGATAAAGTCGTCGAGTTCAGACAGGCAAATGTTGATTTCCAGGTGGCTGATACCAATAGGTAAAACAATGCACTATAAAAGCTACCGTCCATATGTGTCTTATAAAATACTAATAAAATTAAATTGCCATAATAATTATAATAGTTATTACAATAATAACAGCCATAATGTTACAATAAATAATACTATGGAAAATAATGTGCTATAAAATAATTGTGCTGCGCCTGTCAAAAAAGAAATATAAAATTCTGCCACGTTACGAATAGTGTTTGGGTGTTTAACAAAAGTTTTGATTGATGGTTGATGGGAATACTGGCGGGGAATGTACTTATTGTGCAGTTGGCATTCAAGGAGAAACTAAAACGCGTCTTCTATTTTATGCGTATTACATGGGGAATATTTCTTTATGTCTTGGTAATTTGTCGTATCCACCACCCTCGATATTAAATGGCTAAAAGGGCAAAAAAGAGGAAAGCGCATGTCATTAACTTTACTTTTTACTGTTACAGTGCATTATGCGGATAGTTGGACTGTCGACAGTCCTCGGGTCTAATTTGTTAGTACATTAAATCGGCAAACGTTTACAAGAAATGCCGCAAGACTGTTAACGCCTGTGAACGCCCTCACGCGACTTTACGTGGATTTCCATCGGTACTGAGCTGTCAATTATTGTCAGTTCAGTTCCGGTGGGAAACCATGTAATGTCGCGTGAGGGCGTTTTCAAATGTTATCAGTCTCCAGGCATCCGCTGAAATGCCTGCGGTAGTTCTTGCAAACTGTCGACAGTCTAGCGGATAGTCAGGAGACAAACTTGGATATATAATAAGTACTCAGTACCGGTGGTAAACCACGTAATGTCGCGTGAGGGCGTTTACAAGCGTTAACAGTCTCCAGGCCTCCGCTGAAATGCCTGCGGTAGTTCGTGCAAACTGTCGACAGTCTAGCGGATAGTGGGGAGACAAACTTGGATATATAATAAGTTAAAATCACATTTTTTTCGATTACAAGAAGATGAAACGTACATTAGGAACTATCAGGAATAATACAAAATTTCAGCAGATGTATCAACCACATTCGAAAAAACTATCGACTCGCTCCTCAACACATGATAGAAAATGTGCGAGGACTGTACGATTCAAACAATGATATTTTTAATGAATGTAATGGGCTTTGAGTTCTAAATATGACCAGTAAATCAATGGAATAGAGTTAACACAATTACATGATGTATCGAGTATATGGTGGATTTACAGTGGTTGACATTTCGTAACAACGCTCAACGCGACAGAGTCTGTCAGTCACATGCATTGCGTTACTATTGTGAACTCCCTGGGCTGATGGGAACTGACTCTCATAACAGAGCACCGGAAGAACGCGGGTTGAATCTGTAACGACCGAGAGGCGTCAGTTAGTTTTGTACCGCTGGTGATTCCGCCAGTTACGGACTGTTTTTTCGCTATCCGCGCATTTTCACAAGCCAAAATACCTCTCAATAGACTCTATATATAGTGAATTCTAACACAATTACGTAGGCTGCCAGTGAATGCCACTTTGAGAATGAAATCAACATTGGATTCAAAGTGATAACACAGTATTTTTTATAATTTTAATATATCTGTATATCAAAAACAGGGTGTACTTACTACTTCTCAAAGTTGAATGAATGATATTGAATAAATCACCGAACATAATTCAATCATCCAGCTTTATATAGTACATATTATAAATGTAAAATAAATATCAAAAATATTATTTGAACTATGCAAACTCAGATCGGAAAGCACGATGAAAACTGCAAGTAATATGGAGGGAATCTCGAAATAGTAGCGGCAAAATCGGTTACAAGATTAATGCAAGACATAACAAACCGCGTGTATTGAAAAAAAAAAAAACGATTTCTCTTTCTTTGCAATGCATGGAACAATTCGTTAAATGCTAAATACATGAACGAATTCACTTAAAAATCAGGCAGCTACAAAATAATGGTTCGATATCCAATCACACGTCCGAGGATTTTTCCACTCCCTTTTTTACCTTTGTTGCGTTACTATGAATAGTAATTAAAAACACGACATTGTGAAATCTGTAAATACAAGGTTGGATGTATTCTATGGAAGGTTTTACGTATTGTAACATGCCACACGTGTTCGTAAAATGCAAGATGGCACTTACGCCCGCAATAACTCATGCCCGCGTTTTTTTATTGAATGGTTGTCAGGTTATCAGAATCATATACTAGTACATCCATCAATCCTTTTTAAAAATCACACTGTTCATATGTGTAAATATCACCTGCCATTCATCAGCATTTCTGGGTGGTTAAATTACATAGCTATATTTGTTATTATACAGAATATTAGGTATAACGTTGATATATATATATTTTATTGTAATTTTGCCAGGAAATATTACTGAACCGCTTATAACTATAGCCCTCTACGGCCCCGACATGCGGACGGCTTTCCCAACATAGGCGGCAGGTGATATGAACACCACCTGCTTCGTACTCATGGTAACTGTCTTTGTTTGCTTGGATACACTACTCTTGCCAACATGTGCTTTGCTTGCGCTAGTGGTATTGGCAACAGTGGACTTTCCTGGTGTATCTTGTGACACAGGGGAGTGGGAGGTTGGAGGGATTTCTAAAGTTTTGATGGATGGTGAGACGCTCGTATGTCGCTCTGATTTTGTCAGTAGCCTCTCACTGCGCGTATCCCCTATAATACTGTCGTTACTACTGAGTTCTTTATCAGACGTTGCTTCTCCTTCTATACTGGAGTTATCAGGCATATGTCCAAACGCGCACCATGTTTTTATCACTATAGGTTCTCGCTCTTTGATTTGTTCATTCCGGTTGCGCTTGAGTACACTTTCCTCCACTGATTGAATGTCTCGACTTTTTGCTACTGTGGGGTCAATGACCAACTTAGCATTTTCAGAGTCTGAACCACTCAACGAAGTCGCGCTGAGAACGAGATCATTGGCAGCGTTACTTGTCGATGTTGTATTGGAATCGTCCGGTCTTTCTGAATTCTCTGGCGTGGGAGGCGGCTGGCCTGGGTGGTGAAGTCCTTTGATTTGTCTGTACTGCGCATGT